CCCGTTTTCCATCTCAATGGCTGCTTGGGCACACCTCTCCAAAAATTGTTCTTCGGTTTCTTCATGTACAGCATCATCTTCTGAATCCTAATAAACAAAACAAACAAAGATATAAATCCAAATCCCATGTTTTTTTTACTTATTGCAAACAATATGATACCCTTTGTAAGGAATCACCAAGAGCGTTAGTGAAATACCAAATATGGGAGATAATCGAGTCGACGGAGTAGCATCTTCACATGACTGCTCGTACTCATACCGATCATCATCATAAAATCTTCATTGTCATGATGAGTCTTCATTATAGATATGATCGATGTTGAAGAAGTTGTCGACAATAAAATCGGAACTCTACTATGAATTATGTAAAAGCAGAGGATATTTCTCTGTGTGTGTGAGAGAGAGAGAGAGAGAGAGAGAGAGAGAGAAAGAAAGAAAGGGAGAGAGGTGGAGTTTTTATTATTACATAATTATTCAAATAGATATAGAATGAAAGAAAAAAAATAGATAAGGGTATTACAGTAATTTCTGTTTCCAGAGGGACTAAAATTACATAGATACATGGGCAAAAGGACCACGAAATCAAAAAAATTGAGGTTTGGACTAAACCTCAGAAAAAATGCATACCACAGGGACCATTTTTGCAGTTTTGTCTTTTCATAAATATGTGTTTGTATACAAATGTATTTATAATAAAATAGATGTTTGTATTGTTTTTTTTTTTGTAAAATATGTGTTTGTATACATTTTTTTATAGAAACGAATTTGTATATATTTATGTACTTAATAAATACCTATTTTTATAAATATGTAATTCGTATACAAAAAAAATAAAAAAATTTTATATAGAAATATAAGATTTTTTATGTGAAAATATGTTTTTTTTTGTATAAATATGATTTTTTAAAGAAAAAACATATTCGAATTTTTTTTTTGAGAAAAAATGTTGTAAAAAACTAAAGTTGTGATGAATTCATAACAAAATTCTGAAATCTAGGCCAAAAGGGTAAATTTTAGACCAAATTTGTAAGAAAATTTGAAATCTGGGCCAAAAGTGTAATTTTTTAAAGTTGGATGACCTATTGACCGCGTAAAAGGGTTAAATTGAATACGATTACCGGTTTTTAGGACTTAATTGAATAAAAAAAAAGATATAATTACTAAATTGATTATAAAGCCAATATGTAATGACTTTTTTGCAGTTTTCCCTTTAATCTTTCAATATATTTGAACCCCTTTATATTTAAATATTTATTTCGAATTGTATTTTTTAATATTTATTTATTATTATTTCGTTAATTATTATTAATTATTAGTTATTAAATTTAAATTTTTGTAATGTTTTTTATTAATTCACTTGTCCATTCTTAAAAGTTTATCTTTGATTATAAATTTGTTCATATTATTTATTAAACCTTTTTTTAAATAGTTAAATAAAAAACAAGGCATCACATCTATGTGTTTAATGTGGAGGCTAACATGGAACAAAGCAAACATGCAGTTTATAATGATTTTCGAACCTTTTTTTTTATTTTTTTTCAACAAGTTTTATATAATAAATAATTGTGACCTACCTTAAAAAATATAAGTGAACCATCTTATTATTTTTGGCAAAATTATACATAAATCATATTTTTAGAGTCTTTATTCTATGTTTTAATAGCCCAATGTTTTTAGGGTATCATCAAATATGTATAGCCTAATACAAATTAAACTAAAAAAAGAAGTTAACGCGACTCAAGAATGGTTTTCACCGCGATGCATGAAGCTTCTACACTTCATTCAAATAGCCGATCATATTGCTCGTTTGTCCACCGTAGGTAAATTACTTTTGTTAATTTTGTGAACATTAAGTAAAATGTATGGTTTCTATTTCTAACTTTGTAAACATTAAATTTGTTAGTTTTGGAATTCTAATTCCACCATCGATAATTGGTGATTCACAAATCACAAATTCTTTGCTATATGTTTAATTCATTAATTTAGTGAATAACTTATTGTGAATTTTTTTCACTGTTTTAATTACTCTATTCCATGAATCTAAATAGAACTTTAAATATTATTTTTGCTGACACGACTTAACCCGATCCGAATCGGCAATAGTATTTTTTTTAATAGTTTTCTTTTTTTATCGGTTTCATTTAAATAGTGAACCATGTGGTTTTACGTTCTAGACCCGCCACTGCGAACGATAATAACAAAAAAGAATAATCGTTAATCGTTAATGATTCAATACAACGCTAGCACACGACATTAAGGCAATATCACCTAAAATAAGAGTATGGGTATGACTTTCAATCATTAATACATCAAGATAAGGCTATCAAGCATAATTACCTTTCCTACAAAAGAAAGCCATCAAGATAAGTAAAAAAAAAAAATTGAGAGGCTATATCGCCACGTTAAGTTTTGATAGTTCCACTTAAAATATATGAATTGACAATTGTGCCATATTTATCCCTATTTTAATAAATGAATAGTTTTAATCTCATTTTTGACAAGTGTCATTCTAATACAACTCATCAATAATATTATGTCATGTCTCATATAAATATATTAGGCAACTCATTTCAAAATTCAAATTTATATTTTCTAATTATATGTTAAATTTGAAGTTATAATAACTTTAAAATTTTGATATATCTCTTAATTAATGATTTATTTAAAATAATTGATTAGTAATTATAAATTTTTATTATAAAAGTTTAATTAATTTTATAATCGTGGTTCCCACAGGTTATAAACTAGTTTAAAATAAAGTAACCCGTTTTAGTTTCTCAAAACGTACATCAGGATAATAATTGCTACCATAAGCTCACATCCCAACACATGTCGTTCTATGTTGGTGTACAACTCAAAAAAGAGAAGGACCATCACCCACCCATTTGAATCCTTCGATGACTTATCGGCTGTGAGGAAGAGTTTCACTAAAATGGAGACGAACCGAAATAAAGTCGTAACTCTGAAATTCACCTAGCCAAGCCAATTGCCATTCGAGAGTCGGCTTTTCTGCCATTCGCACCGCCCATTATGCCAAGGCCTTGGACCGGCAAGGCTCCATTGAAGAAATCAATCAAGAAGATTAAGCTTTTCGAGTCATTGAATCTGTGTAACTATTCCAATTCCAAGCAGCTGGAGATGCTGAAACCATATGAGCTTGGGAATTTTGAAGTGAAGTTGATGGAGGAAGTTCTTGGGAAGCCACTATGTAGAGTAGAGAGAGTAGAGCTTGTTAAACCTCACATTTCTAGTAATCGGCAAGTCAATCTTGGTAAGAAACAACATGCAAATTGGTTTGTGATAATCTCACTATACTTTTTAGAAAAAAAAAAAAATATGCTATCAAAAATATGGTATCTAATAGGTGAATTGTTAGTTATTTATTTAACAAATAACAACCATTCTGGTAGGAGTTGGTTTGTTTCATTTGTTATATCAGTTTGGATTATATTCACTAGTGTATATATTCATGATGGATTCTTACTTTTTTTAATAGCAAATCTAATCTACTTATAAATTATTCTTTAATTACACATATGTCCACGATGAAACTTGAACCCTTGACCTTAAAGAATGAGGGCAACACCTGATACCGTTAGGCTAGAAGTTATCTGGTTGCAGTATTCCCACATAATGTATTAAATTTGTCCATATTAGTGGGAATAAATATGGATTAAAATTTGTGCTCTTTTTGGCCCACCTTTAGCATCTTATTCTAAATACTCATAATGTTTAAAATATTTATTTGCATTTGAATTAGTGCTGCGATGACATTTCTATAGGTATGGGTGATAAAAACATATTTATAGAAAGTTATAAATAGATTAGGAAGTGTTGGAGTTAACTACGAGTCTTCAAAGATTGTATTGGATATTGTTTTCAATTTTTTGTATTGTTCCTATATATACTTGTGTAGTTGGTTATTAGGCACAGTCAATACAATAGCAACGAGTATATCCATTTTTTTCTTCTTTTTCATATTATGTATTTAATTTAATGGGTCCAATACGGACTATATATGTCTATCTATGTCTCGAATATGGGTATGAGTGTAATAAGGGCATTATGGTCACTTGAGATGTAACTGGAGAAAGGGAACACTTTTGTGTCTCTTTTAGGCCCAAATGACTTGTACATTTCGTCCATAGATGACTTGTCCATTCCATGTATTTCTCCTCAATGTGTGCATCCCATGGTGTGATTCGTGTGTTCAACTCTCATTCATGATGTAATCAAATGAAAATTGAAATCAAAGGAGAAATAGAAGATCAAGTTTTCTTCTACTTGGATTGAAGATATAATAACTATCTTATGCATTTAATTTGCAAGTTTTGGGGAGGGTTATGCAACGCTGCCTCTCAATATCGTCATTTTAGCAAATAACTTGAGAAAGAACCGTTGAATAGCTAATTAAAAAACTTCTTAAACAAAAATTCCACTTTTCAAATCCTTTAAAAACTGATTCCACAAATGGGTTTTCATTAAATCTTCATGGGTGAAAAAGATTTTTAAGTATTTGTAACAAAACAAAAGCAAAGGGTCTTGCATCCTCACAACAAATCAGCAATAGAGCAGTCGATATATTCTATCCAAATATTGCTATTTATTTAATTTGCAGAATCATGTACCAAACATGGTTTCTTCCAAAGTACATATCACACTCACACACATAAACTTAGTAAAACAACTGCGGACAAAAGATAAAAGTTCAGATACATATGAATATCAACTCATTTATAAAAATATACACATCCACCACTTCAGTCAAACCATTCAAATTCAATAATGACCCACCACCCCATGCATAATGCAACCTACAAATTCTCATATAACTCCACAAAAAGAATCACACCAACTTTCCTCAATTTAAATGCAAAAATACACACCAAAAGAAGCAAAGAAAGATCACCCTATTTGCTAAAAAGCAAACCAGGGAAGGCATCAACAAAGCTTGNGGCACACACCAAAAGAAGCAAAGAAAGATCACCCTATTTGCTAAAAAGCAAACCAGGGAAGGCATCAACAAAGCTTGAAACAACTTGTTGTGGCAAATCCGTTCTTTGCAAAACTATTTCACGATTACTTTCAATCAATGATTTCACAATGCTTAGCGCATCAACCTCATCCAACTCTCCTGCACACAAAAAGCAAGTCACAATCACAATATGTTCCTTTTTTTTACTTAATATGGAAAGAACAACTTAATAATACACATACCCATTTCTATTTCTTGCTCTTCATCTTCCTCCTCTATTTCTTCCAGATTAGTCCCGTTTTCCATCTCAATGGCTGCTTGGGCACACCTCTCCAAAAATTGTTCTTCGGTTTCTTCATGTACAGCATCATCTTCCGAATCCTAATAAACAAAACAAACAAAGATATAATACCAAATCCCATGTTTTTTTTACTTAATACAAAAAAAAGGTCTATGAGAGTCAAAAAGTCAAACCTCATCATCATCATCATCTTCATCATCCTCAGTGTCATCATCAGTGTTGTTCTCATCTTCATTTTCATCATTATCTTCATCCTCCTCTTGAGCTTCTTTCAACCGCACACATGCTTCCATCATTGCCGCCAAGCACTCCGACAACAACCCGCCACCGTCATTCCCCCCAGTAATCATTCGGGTAATCATTTTTGCCAAGGTTAATACTGGAAATTTTATTATTATTATTATTAAATAATGCAGTGAAGAGTTTGAAAGAGGAACTAAAAAAAATATTATTTACCAGTTAACTTGATTTCATTCTCTGTTGTTAATCCATGTTCAAACTCGGTGGAGGAGATGGAGCAAAGAGCCCGGGCCCACATTTTAAACCCTTCATCTTGATCCTTCTCCAATGTATTCTCAACAACATCAGGATAACATGAATAACAGGTACATATAGCAAGCAACAATGGCTTCCAAAGAGGAGAAGGTTTTGATTGTTGTTCTCTAAAACAATCAAATGCTGACTGACAAAAAGCCATGGTCAAATCCCGCATTACAATTTCTTCATCAGAAAAATAAGTTGAAAGATGCAAGAGTATATGAACCGAAGATGCTGCTCGATAGATCACAGATGGATACTGTGAAAAGGCACTGCTTACAAACCTACCAATGTTTTCAATAATGGAAGGTTGACCACCGGTTGACCTGCGAATGAAGTTTGCTACAGTAATACCTCTGTGGAGATGAGCAGCTTCTTTGATGCATTTAAAGATTGATAAATCTTCTTCTTCTTCCCAAGAACTCCAGTTTGAAATTTGGTGGGCCCATGCATGCAAGAGGTTTGTAACTTTTTCATTCTGGATTTCATCGCATTCGTTGAGATTGGACATGATGAATACGAGTAGTGTCGATGAATCGTCCATGCAGCATGACGATGGCGAGGGCGATTCTGTAATTTCATCTTCCATAGGTCTCAGCCAAGCTTGTTGTAGAAGATCTGTAAAAGCTTTGTCAATGGTGGCTCTACCAGAAACCACAACATCACTTTGTGCATCATCCGCCACTCCCCCAGGAAAAGATTCCTCCCAACACTGACCCATTACTGATAGTGCTGCAAAACCTCGTGCAACCACCTATTATATTATAGAACCACAATCAGAAATATTTTTTTGAAAAGTAAAGAAATAGAAATTTATTCAGTAGAAAAAAATTAAACTTACTTGAGGCCAAGGCTCAGGACTAAGAGGAATATGGTTTAGAATATGTTGAGCAAGTAGTGAAATAATATGTGGGATATGAGGTACAACAGCATCACCTCCAGCTTCCACTAAAGTTTTAAGAACTTCAAACATAATGGCACTCTCAGTCTCTTCATCATTACTCTCTCTGATTCTACCAACTACAACTTGAAGAATTGGCAACCACTCGGGTGGAAGGAATTCGTTCTGTAGAGGGCAAAAGCGGAATATAAAAAATTACACATGTTCGAAACCAAAGGGCAAAAGCGGAAGAAAAGAATTTAATTCTACACACCTCGACAAGTTGAGCAATTGCACCAGCAGCAGATACACGTACAGGGTAGCATGAAATATCCTCTGTGTCTTCCATTGTCAGGGCTTTTAACAATGAGGTATACACATCAGAGCTCATCTCCTGAAAATAATAGAGGGCGTTAATGTCTTTTTGCACAGACAAGAGACTAAAGTGAAAAAAAAAAGAAACTCACTTCAGGAATACAGGAAACAAGCTCTCCAAGAATCCAGTTAGCAGAAGCAACCAAATAAGGATCACAGGAAGATGCATTGTATAATGGTAGCACTCTTGAGCGGATTAGTGTAGTTGTATATGCAGGTTTCTGCTCCTTCAGAAACTGAAAGTAAAATGATGATTATTACATTTAATAGTCTTGGAAAAGGTTTTATATCTCACAAATGTAAGAAATTCAACATTTCTGATTGAAATCTTACATCTACAAGGTTGCCATATGCCATCAAAACGCCATAATAGCTGCCAGGAATGAAATAATTACAAAGTTTAAAAAATATATATATAAATAGAAAAGGTGCAAAGGGGACTTTTGAAATTATTTGGAAATTATTGAATCAGAAAAAGAATTTGTTAACTTACTCATTTGTGGTCTTCCTTACTGGTGTATTTGTGTGAGATGGAATAGGGAATTTGGAGAGAAAAGGAAGCACCAATAACTCCCCCATAGAACTGCGACCTTTTTGTTTGTTTTTTTCACCTTTTTTACGTTTAGATGTAAGTGAAGCTGCAACAGGTGGGCCCTACAAACATGATTTAATAAACTTCAAGTACAATGCTATAAAGATTGGATAGGATTCCATAGTTCAATGACTTAAGGATAAAACTGACTTTTGATATTGAAATAACACCAAGTAAGTTCAATGCACTTTTTCTTGGAGTGAATAAGTCCTCCCTCAATCCTGAAATTTCCTCCTGTCAAACAAATTGGGGGACAAGGTGAATCATTGTAGCATAAATAAGTAATTAACACAAAATAGAACAAGTGCATACCAGTTCAGAAGGGAGATTCTTTCTTATGTACTCATCTGAATCTTCCTCCCACTCCGTAATATCCTACTCCAAAAGAAGAAATTAATATTTTGATGCAAATGCATTTTCAATTAACAACCATCATAATACTTATAATAATAATAATAACAACAAACAACAATGATGAAGCAATAACTATCAAACCTTTTCATTCATTACTATTGCTGGAAAAATTGCAGACTCCAGTAAAGATGAAAAGTGTGGTGAAACAAGTCTCCATCCCTGTTTCCAGATGATTATAATTCATTTGTAAGAAGGAATAAAATGAAAACAAATATTAATTGGCTGATGCACTGAATGAAAACTCACTGGGCCTGTTTCTAGAAGTCGAGATATAACATCAAAAGCTAAAGACATAACCCTCTCTCCCAGATTATCCAGCTTCTGTATAAAACACATATTAAATCAACACACTACTATATTAAAGGTTAAAGATAAAGTTAGAAGTAAGTAAAAATAGCATTAAAAGGTCAAACAACAGTTTAATAAAGGCTATGATTTAAAATAACACTTTGATGCCACCCAGTATAAAAAAACATATGTTTTTTTTGCAATGGATTAATGCGAGAAATGGCATCCCACTTAAATTACTTCCTACTACAACATTGTAATTCGAAAAAATCTATGCAATCATAGCAATGTTATTTAAATATAAAGTAATTTTTACTGGTACTGGTAGATTTTTCAAAGCAAAATTTTGTAATACGAAAAAAAAGTAAAAGTAGTTAGTAGACTTACAAAATACAATGCTTTCAAAAGAAAAAAGGTGTAAAGAGAATATTGTAATAGAAATAAATGAATGTAGGATGATATAATAAACAAACAAATAAAAGTAAAATTGCTATTCCTTGCATTTTGCCCTTTTCCAATCAATGGAACTTACACTGAAGTCTGTTTTAAACTTCACTAGTTTCACAGCTGAATTTATGATGTCTGGCATCAGTCTGTAAAAAGAGAATGAACAAAATGAGTAGTGATAGACACGAATTGAAGCTTATCAAACTTGATCCATGTTATTATGTTAATGGCTTAATGCATTACTTATCAGAGAACTTTCTATGTCGGGTTATAAGGGCACAGAAAATAAGCAAACTCCTCTTTCCAGTCTTCAACCTCAGCATATATCCATCCTCAGAAGAATCACAATCTTCAAATTTTAAAGAGTGGAGGATACGAATTAAGTCATGGCAAAGAGAAGGAAGCAGAGGAACCAAAGCAGATGGCATATGCGATCTCACCTACAGAACAATCAAGTTTGTTATTTGAATACAAAGATTTTATAACATTTATAAAATGTAGCAAGTGAATAATTTGCTGTTTTATGATTAATATTCACAACAAGAAAGAAGGGTCATCTCATCTCAATTCTCAAAGAACATTTATACTTACAGCATAATAGATGCACTTGCTCATTATAAGAAGGCTCTTCTCAGCATCCATATTAACTTTATTTTGAACACACAGATCTTCCACGTATAGATGAAATAAAGAAATCAAATGTATGAGAATTTCTTGTGCGATTATCTCTAGCTGTGGTGGAACTGCCTCCTTTGCTATTTTTGGATTCAAAAAGTACTGCCAGAAAGAAAAAAGGTCATACTTTTTAGTGAAAACAAAACCATAAAAGAACTTGAAACACAAATAGTCACTATTAACACTATTTAGATCACCTGAAATGGTCTGATAACTGACTGGAGAACTGTAAGGCTATTGATGGTCTTCCATCTAGAATTCCCACTTCTATTAACCAGGTCACTATCTTGAATTACTGATCTCAGTTGAGGTACAAGTTCATCCCATAAATTTTGCTTCACAAATTCAGCATCAACAATGGGACGAAACTGCAGAAGCATGTGTTAGAAACTGATCAAGTGAAAAGATAATTTATAAGTGTAAGTACACATACTGCTTCAATCAACACTTTCAAGATTGCAGGTTCTGCTTGAAGCAAAGCAAGAACAAGCCTGTCTCTAAACTCCTTGTTGACTCTTGAAGCTGTTTCACCTTGAATCGTATTACGCCTTGTGAAGTTCTTCAGATATGTTGCAGCAGCAATGCTTTGACCTTGATTCTCACCTCCTGCAATCATCATAAAATTCAATAACATATTCCAATTTCATTACAGATTACTACAGCTACATACAATCATTAATTTGTTACCAGAAGATATTTACTAGATGTGTTGACTTTCAAGCATTAAATTTCAAGTTGTAGTGCACTCTAAGGTTTTCTGGTAACAACTCATAACCATATTAAACACTATAACAAGGATTAAAAGTTTCTGTATTTTGAAAGTACAACAAAGAAACAGTAAGTAGATTTTTTCTTGAATAGATGGAATAGAATTTAGAAATTTTCCTTACATATACAAAACTACAGTTAGTTTTGGCTTTGTTGAACATTAAGAATGAGAGTTATAAGATAATCAATGGCGCTTATACCATTTGAGCGCCGATATTTATGCCAGTGATATATTACTTACACAGATTGCGTGAAAATCGGATTTATGGAACTCTAAAATTAGTCCTAACTGCTGTAGAAACTGTCTATTGATCTACGGAAACAATTTGAATATAGATTGATTACGCCGGTTTTGTTTCTATGTGTCAACTTCTTAAAATAAAAACGTATCATAAATGAGCAGAATAACTACACAATTATATCTTATAAGTAGATGTATTAACAGTTTAACTTGCATATACAGCTCAAGCAAAATTAGCTACTCAATCAAAGCAATACGGGACGAGATTGAGAAAATTACCACCGACGGCGATGGAGATCAGAGCAAAGGAGAAATCGGGGTTCGGAGAGAGGCGGTCGAGAGCATCAGATGCAGAACGGCGAACTTCACCGTCGGGGCTGAGGGTGTTGTTGAAAAGCTGGGCTACTTGCGAAGTCAACTCCATGCTGCTCGAATTGATGGACGATGCTACGGCGGAACCCTAGCTCAGGCGCTAGTCCTTTCAATTGTGAGAAATTAGGATAAATGGTGGCGCGAAAATATGCACAATGGCGGGAACCTTTACAGCTTTACCTAATATCTTAATTTTTGTATTGTCGGGCCACAAATAAAATGAGTTTTTTACTAAACAATAGCGATTGAAAAAAAAAATTAAACAATAACGATTGGAAAAAAAATATTTACCAAACGTATTTACTAAAGCATGGTCAAAATAATTTAGACCTTAATTTTATATAAGAAAAAAAAACTTTAAAATATTCTGATTCCAAAAAAATTAAGTTCAATTCTTAATTTTTTTTATCCTTAAAAAAGTTACTATGGTTTCAAAACTTTTAATGAATGATCATTAGCCCTAACTCTTTTAATTTTTTGTTGTTAAGTCAATTAAGATTTAATGTATAATAGTCTTTTCATACCTCAATGACCATTTTTAGGGATTTTAACTTTTTTTTTAGAAAACTTAAAAATAATACCCCTCCCTCCTACCGCCCCCACCCTCTCCCACCTCATCCTCTAGATACATACGGTCACCAGTTAATGATTTATTATTCAAAGTATTCTAATCCTAACATGTGCATGTTATCCATATAAAGGATATAAATGATAATGTAACACGTGGCTATTTGAAGGGCATATCATTATCTTCTATACACCTACTAAGCTATCCTAACAACTTCCTAGAACACCTACAAGAAGAGAATCGGCATAAGCATTTAAAACTAATAGATGAGAATTAGAGATAGCTTCCTAGAATACCTACAAAAAGAGAATCGGCATAAGCATTTAAAACTAATAGATGGGAATTAGAGATATCCAATGCATGTAATCATCATAACCTACCCATCTTTTCATATACCAAAGCATTCCCTATGAAGCAAAATAAATTTTAATCAATTTTAGTAAATAACTACAATAAATGCTAAGTAATTACAACACTAACCCACCGATTACTTCACCCCCTTAAACCCTATATAATAGGCGCCTCTTTCCCCCTCCCATCCACACCCTTATTCGGTAATTCAATCAGGTGATTACATCAACATGAAATCTGAAGACATGGAGAAGGTGCTCAACACCCTCATTCAGCAACTCAATAAGACGATGGAATCTGTAACATCCATAAAAAGTCATGCCAAATTTGAGCTTTTAAAAATATTTCAAAACCATTAGATCATTACAACTTGTTTTCAAAATGTCTAATATCAGAGTTTTTCCAGAAACATAAACAAAACATGAGGAGTTATACGATCACGCCGTCGCCTTGTCGCGATCCCCTGATGTACCTGAAACAATAACTGAAACTGTAAGCCCGAGGCTTAGTGAGTTCCCCCAAAATACTGATGCACTGCACACAACACATATACAAATAACAACATGCACTGGGTCCACAGCATTACCGTCTAGTTTACCCCCTGGGCCCACAGTGTGAGTCTGGATTGCCTTCCGGGCCCACAGCTCACATCTGGATTGCCACCGAGCCCACAGTACGAGTCTCCCTCACCTCGTATCTGGAATGCTCCCGAGCCCACAGTACGAGTCTGGCATGCCCCACCTGGCCCTCAGCTCGTATCTGGAATGCTCCCGGGTTTGTTGGTTACCGCACGGAGCAGTATCACCTCAACCCACCCCACGTAATATGTTGACATATAACACAACTAATGCACATACAAATAATCACATAATAACACAGGTAGTCCTACAGGTCTACCTAACTGGCATAGCAACTAGCATGCAACATTAGCTCATACTCAACATACTACCAACTGCTAGGATATCATATCCAACGGGCCAGCCTTGGTGCCTTAGACCCCTTAGTATAGTGAGGATAACTCACCTCGCTAGTAGTGCTGAAATACTGAAACTCTCTGACCGTTTGTCTCACCGGGAATACCGAACTGTCACATAACAATAAATACTAGGTTAATACCCAACATTACTCCCTTAACCAAGTGTCCTCATAACTCATTAAGTCAATTCCCTTTTGTTGGGCCAAAACCCCATCCAAGTCCTTAACTTGAAAGTCCATATACATAAGTCCACTATTGGCCCAATTTACTAAATTGGGCCCAACCTCCTTATTGGGCCTAACCCCATGATCCACTATCACAACCTGGCCCAAAATATCTTATTTACAGAGTCCATCAAAGGCCCAATCCCATTTAGTCCATAAACAGCCCAAAACCCGAAGCCCATTTGTCGAAATCCCAAAAGAGGGTGTACCTCTCTGGGTACGCGGGGCGTACTCGTCCAACGTTGACCACCATCAGGGTGGTTGACCCAGTACGCTGGGCGTACTGGATTTACGCTGGGCGTACTGG